GGAACGGGGAACGGGGAACGGGAACGGGGAACGGGGAACGGGAACGGGGAACGGGCCTGCCGGGAGGGCCCGGGGAGGCTCCGCCAGCGCGGGGCGAGCCCAAGCGGCCACTGGGCCACCAGAGCCCGACCCTGCCCGGACACTGAGGGGACACCGCGGGGACATCGCGGGGACTTCGCAGGGACACTGTGGGGACATCACGGGGACACCGAGGGGACATCGCAGGGACATCGCAGGGACATCGCGGGGACACCGAGGGGACATCGCGGGGACACTGCAGGGACATTGCGGGGACATCACGGGGACACCGAGGGGACATCGCGGGGACACTGAGGGGACACCGCGGGGACATCGCGGGGACATCGCAGGGACATCGCAGGGACACTGCGGGGACATCACGGGGACACTGCGGGGACATCACGGGGACACCGAGGGGACAGCGGGGTCGGGCCCCGAGTCCCGCCGGGGCTCCCACGGGAGCGGCCTTGGGGGTCCAGGGGGAAGGGACCAGGAAGAGAGAGGGGGAGGCATCACTGGCCACTGGCACCCACCCAGTGCTGGCCACCGGCACCCACCCAGTGCTGGCCACTGGTACCCACCCAGCATTGGCCACCGGCACCCACCCAGCACTGGCCACTGGCACCCACCCAACGTTGGCCACCGGCACCCACCCAGCACTGGCCACTGGCACCCACCCAACACTGGCCACTGGCACCCACCCAGTGCTGGCCACCAGCACCCACCCAGCACTGGCCACTGGCACCCACCCAACACTGGTCACCGGCACCCACCCAGTGCTGGCCACCAGCACCCACCCAACACTGGTCACCGGCACCCACCCAGGGCTGGCCACCAAATCCCACCCAACATTGGCCACCAAATCCCACCCAACATTGGTCACCAGCACCCACCCAGTGCTGGCCACCATTGCCCACCTAACACTGGCCACCAACACCCACCCAACATTGGCCACAGGCACCCACCCAGGGCTGGCCACCAAATCCCACCCAACATTGGTCACCAGCACCCACCCAGTGCTGGCCACCATTGCCCACCTAACACTGGCCACCAACTCCCACCCAACATTGGCCACCATCTCCCACCCAACAGTGGCCACCATCCCCCACCCAAAACTGGCCACCGGCACCCACCCAACACTGGCCATGATCACCCACCCAACATTGGCCACCAGCACCCACCCAGGGCTGGCCACCAGCAACTACTCAGCACTGGCCACCAACTCCCACCCAACACTGGGCACCCCCCCACTATCCCAAATATCCCACCCCCTGGGATATTCCCGGTGTATCCCACGGGAAGGGGGACCGGCGGCTCCCACCCCCAACCAGGGGAACGTGCGGAGCACAGCCAGGACCCCAAAACCCCCCGTTTGGACCCCAAAACTGGGATCAACCGGGACAACCCCGGGGCCGGAGCGTCCTGGTGGCTCCGCTGGCTCCGACCCGGGAATTGCAGGGCCGGGAGCGGGAACGGCGGCGGGAAAAACGAGGGGGGTCCCGGGAGATGAAAGCGGCTCTTGCGGAAGGCGGGCGGGACCCCGGGATCGACAGAGCCCCGGGATCGGAGACCCCTGGGAACGGGATTTGGGACCTCCAGGGAGTGGGATTAACCCCAGGGGGTGAGATTTGGGACCCCTGGGAATGGGATTTGGGACCTCCAGGGAGTGGGATTAACCCCAGGGGTTGGGATTTGGGACCCCTGGGAATGGGATTTGGGACCTCCAGGGAGTGGGATTAACCCCAGGGGTTGGGATTTGGGACCCCTGGGAATGGGATTTGGGACCTCCAGGGGGTGGGATTAACCCCAGGGGTTGGGATTTGGGACCCCTGGGAATGGGATTTGGGACCTCCAGGGA